CATCAAGTGAACCAATTAATAATAATCATAGAAGAAAAATACCACGAACTGATTGAGTTTCATTAAGATCAACAATACAAGGAAACATTAACAACAAAATCAATTAGTTCATTATCAAATTTAGCTAAATATCAAAAATCATCATCAAAATCAACAACAACAAATGAATCATCAATATCAAAGAAAACTTCATCAATAACACCTGTAGAAAATGTACATTTTATTTTACATATTAATGGACAAAAAAGACAATGTATTTTACCAAAAACTACATGATTAACTGATTTATTATTATCATTTGATTGGCGATCATTAAATACTTATGAACGTTGATGTTATAGAATGTACTTTGATAATCATATTTTAATTAATGATAATCAAGAAAATGAATTAATTATACATAAATCAATAGTTGCAAATAAAGAGTATCCAACATTACTTGATACATTTGTTCATGCTAATGGTCTTAAAATTCTTGCACAACATTTTTCACGAAATTATCCATCAATACAATCTTATAATGAATGTTTGACATTATCATCATCATCAAGTAGAAATATATTCGATAAAATAAATTTCTTTAATCTTTCATCATTAGTTTCAACTTTATCATTATCATCAACAAATTCTTCAAATAATATGACAATGCCATATTATGTATTTATAACATTTTCAATATTTCTTCGTTTACCAAATTATGCAGATGTTATGTAAAAAAACAATCGTTCACTTGCATGTAATGTAATACGTTTAATGCTTGGACAAAAGAATCAATAACAAATGAATATCAAGATCAAACACAACAACATCAAGAAAATTTTGATATGCACCAATTATCTAAATTACCATTTGAAACATTTTCAATTTTACTTAAAGATTCATCAAATGATTTATTAGATGAAATTTTACATTCAAGTATTCTACTTTTATTACTTTCATGTTTATCATCAATAACACATCATCCAGATCGGAAACAAAAAGATTTAATATCTACATCATTATCTATTCCATCAACAACAACAACAACAATAAATAATACAGCAATACTTAGGGTTGACCAAAAGTTCGTAGAACGGTATTGAAAAGACATTGGCAGATAAGATAATCTGTTCAAAGATGAAAAGTAAAATATGGGATATTGTAGAACTTTTTGAGGCGCGTCGAATGATATATAGTTCATCCTATTTTTATAAGACTT